AAAAAAAATGCACGTTTAAGGTTAGGAAGCCGAGCAAATTCGAGATTTGCACAGAAAACTTGATATCTATGCAACATACTCGATATTTTCCCATCATATTTGACTTCTACATTACAAGCTCGAGATATGATTTACTTACTAGACGTATACAAAATGAATCAACAGATGTCAGGCCCACTCACACGGTAGCAGAGAAGAGGTGGATGTGGGAGGTACTTTACGGCGAGAGACAAAATTGTTCAAGCCCGGCGGGTGGAACGAAGACTATCGCACTAACAACAATCGCCAGATTGAAATCAAACTAATATATGTAATCACCAACAAGATTATGTGGAAGGATAGATAAAATGTTAATATGTTTCTTTCAAGAGTTCAAGTGTATGTCTCAAATATATGATTATACGTCCTTCTTTATCAAAATGATCCCTCCACTTCTCTAATTACAAAGAGGATCTATTTATACTGACTGGCCGATGTGGTGACCATTGGATCAGAACCACGTGGACTTATCTCCCTGACTAAGGCTTTATACGATTAATACATTGATAAGAGGTCAGCCGTCCTACACAATAGGCTGACACATTAACGAATTTATTACAAGCGTTACATCAATCATTTCAAAGAGATCCTCAAATTTTTTACAAGGAAACAACGTCGGGTTTGTGAGCCTCGGATGAACTAGGTGCCTAGGAGAGATCCGATGTGGTTCTCAAACGGGGGATGACAGCTTCTTTCCCAACTTCTTGTCATGCAGTGTGAGGGCTTCGGATGCTTTGTAAGGACCTCGGCCTTTTGATTACTTCTGTGTGTTTGACCTACTGGGTCTTTTGACTTTTTTGTTGACTACCTGTCCACGTGGCCTCGTTTAACTGGACCTCGAAATCGAGGGGTAACAATAGTTTCTAAGTATGATTATTTATGTAATGGTTAGAATTTGAGGACGTGTCTGACCTTTGAAGATCTGATGTGAGTGGTTTCCGAGGTGGTTAACTTGATAATATGTCATCTTAGAACCGGTTATGAGGAGATACACCGAAGTAGGTGTATCCGAGGCGTCTTCCCATAACCGAAGTGCCTACTTTGAACCGAATCTCCTCCACATAATAGAGGTTGTAGACGAGTTTTCGAGGTACATGGGGCCTCAGATAGATAATTACGAGGCATTTTAATGTTTTTGGGAAACACGAGGTGTTTGTAATCATGGCGCCTCAATGATTTGATGTCGTGTTGCATTTCCAAGAAAAATACTGGTCATTCGGTACAACTTCCAATGCATGCAAATGTCGCCTCATTTAATGTGCAATGATAGCTGTCTTCCACGTCTAATGGATTCCAGATGTTTGGGGGGCGCGTGTACCAGACGTGCTAATCTGAGCCTTAGAAGACGAGGCGTTAAATGTTCTAAACACTCAGATTAAAATTTGTAATCTGACGGTTGGATGGCTTGGATTAGGATCCAATGGCTGAGAGTGAGTGGGATCGCCTATAAAAGGCACGAATTTTATAAAGGATGTTTTTCTATTTTTGCACGAATCTTCAACTCTCATTTTCAAAGTTTTTGAAACTTGCAAGCCTTTGTGGAGAACCCTTCAAGCATTTTTTCGTGAGATTCTTCAAGTGTTCTTCTTTTCCAAATCCACATCTTTTTCCTCATGATTCTTGCACATTTCAATGTTCGTACTCTCTCATTGTTCTTTGAAAAAACTCGTAAGTATTGTAAATATTTTTGGTGCTTTGTTGTTTCAGCTTTCTTTTTGTGGAGAGTCAAACAAAATCTGTGAATCGATGGCCTCTCAGTCGAAGGTAGATATCAGTGGGTTGGCCAGGGAGATGGGTTTCTAAATTACCAACGTAGCCGACCTTGCCCAAGCTGTTGAGGCAGGGCAATGTGCTTCAACGTTTGGGGATGATAGTGGGGATGAGGGGATAGCCTGGAGGGCAGCCAAAGTCCAATCATGTGTAGACCCAACCCACCTTGCAAACCTTAGGGAAAAATATAGGATTCCCTATGACATCGACCTTTTATCCCATTCCTTTAACGAACGAGCCTGTCATCTGAGGTAGGGTTGTGTCGCCATCAGTGAGTTTCTCCTGAAGGCCGGACTTCTCCTGGGTCTTCACCCTTTTTTCCGAGCCGTCCTAAGGTTATACGGACTGGCTTCCATCCATTTTTTCCCTAATGCTTGGGCTCAGCTAGTGGGGTCTTACTTCCTATGGAATGAGGTGTCTTTAGGTGAGGACACACCCCTCCACGTCTTCCAAACCATCTACCAGCCTAGGTCTTTAAGCAAAGGGATTCTAGGGGTTGGTATTCTCTGTGCCCATGGGGGGTACATTCTCCTTTTGTGTTAGGTCTCCCTTCATCCATCAAAGGATGTAAGGAGACCTGGTTCTGGGTTCGGGGGAAGTGGGAGTGTGAAGGTGACACTGTCCCTTATGTTAAAGTCCTGACCTCCTACTCTGAACCTAGTGAGTGATGTGTTTATCGAATTTTTTTTTCTTACACTTCGTTTGTTATTGCTTATCGAAAATTCATACTGACAGTGTATTCACTTTGCAGGATTTGTAGAGCCCTTTGACTTCGATTTCTACAAGAGCGAGTGGGATACTTTGTTAGAGATCTACCATCGACCCCCTTCATCTCGCGACTTTGAGTGTCTAGTTGCCCCCAGCATTTCTACGAGGACCTTTGTCTAATGGCTAAGAGGGGTATGACTTCGTTTATATTCATTTCTTGATTCATCACCTCTTTTTGCTCATTTGTCAAATCTGACCCAGTTCATTTTGCAGACAACTTTGAAAAGAGGAAGCCCCCCACCCCTGACATGGCCACCATTTTGGTTGCCACATCAACGATCGGCCGTAAAGGCTTGAAACCCTCATCTGCTGGAGGAAAGCAGGTGAGGGATAAGATAGAGAGGGTCAGCAAGGAAGCGTCCCTCAGGAGGAAAGGCGACCCCCTCTGGTTGACAAAGGGAAAACGGTGGTCGTCGAGGAGCCCAAGAAGAAATTTAGGGTGTCCACCACCGGGGTGGGCAGCTCTAACGACATCAATTATAATTACTGGTAGCATCAATTACTGCGACCACTGGGGGGCAGAAACGACCAGCTTCTTCGGAGCCTCAGAAACAAGAGTCTGCTAAGAAGTCAAAGACTTCGAGTGATGCCTCAACTTCTGATCTCTCTCAAGGCAATTCGGCCATGGCTAAGAGGTTCGATGAGCTAGAGCCTGAAGCTCTTGCACTTTTATCTTCGGAAATTCAGACGGCCACGATGACGTTCTATCAATTTTGGACTACGAAGTGGCAAATTTTTGTCGAGACAAGTGACGCGGTGGACGTCGTCGCCACAATGGTAGCCCAAGTTGCAAGGTCATTTGACATTTCCGTAGAGGTGGATGCCCTCTTTAAAACCCTCCAAAGAAAAAATAAAGAGTTTGTGAGCAAAGACTCTCAGGCAGAAGAGGTCACCAATAAGGCTAAGGCCGAGGCTGAGACATTGGCCAAAAAGGAGAAAGAGGAGTCCATGAAACTTGCTTCAGCTTTGGAGGAGACTGAGAAGTTGAAGAAGGAGGTTTACTTATCTCAGAGTGAAGTGACCTCACTTACGAAGTGAGTGGAGACGTATGATGCTCACCAACGCCTGGCTGCCGAAGCCTTTGAGAAGGCCAACCAGGAGAACTCTGCCTTGAATGGGCAGGTGGGGAAGCTGACTTCCTGGGTGGCTGGCCTAACGGAGGAGGTGGAGACGGTTTGAAGTGACTCCGAGCATACCGTTAAAGATGCTGAGAAGTCCTTTATAGCGAAATTTCATCTAACTGAAGCATACCGATACTTTGGGGCGTATTGGAGAAGGTATGCCTACACAGAGGTTATTGAATGGATGGAAACGCACCTCAGAGACTTCAGTACCTCCGAACTGAGAGCTGAGTTCTTGGAGGATGATGCTGGGGAGTCTGAGCCTCAAACTCCGACTGAAGGGGCATCTGTGATTGAATTGGATGAAGATGCTGCTGAAGAAGTGGCCCCTGACGCCATCATACCTTTTGTGGCTCCCCAGCCCCCACCTGCTTAGGGTAGTTTTTCACTTTTTTGTTTTCATCAAGTGTAATGGCCTCGGCCCTTCCAATTGTAAACCATTGTCATGAATGAACTATTTTTATTGAACACTAATGTGTTTTTAATTTTAATTACCACTTCTGCTTTATACCGACGCATTTATTACAATTGGAGCAACTTTGTAATCGAATCAAACCTGAAGTCATATCATCTTAATAATAATATCAAAAGATTGACAACATCGGACTTATGAACGTCGAAGACCATTGGTCAGGGAACATTTGATGAGATTAGATAATACGCGATACGAGCCTTAATAATATGATTGAACTTGTAAAACTGAAGTGTTAATAGGTTACATTCGTCATCCAAGTTCAAGACTTGGTCACATTATGCCTTTTAGGAATAATTTTAACTCAAGTACTTTTGACCACTCCAGAACTCGTTTAGGCAAATAACTAAATCACCTGATGTTAAATGTATGTAAGATCTCAACCACATCAGATCCTTACATTATACTCCGACAATGGTCTATTCGTAAAAAAATCATTCAAGTGTCTAGGGGTTAGGTAGTTCAATATTCATGAACTGAGGTTCTATAGCATTTTCCACTTAGGCAGTGGCTCATGCCGAAGTTTTTAACAAACTTTAGCATGAATTGGATGCATATGTGGTCTTTTTGGGACCCTATTTCACTCGTGAATACTCAATAAGATTTAAATATTGAACTTATGCATCAATATGTCTTACATTATTGATAGTATTTGCGTAGATGTTCTACGTTCCAAGGATGAGGTTGTGCCTTTCCATCCATATCTTTAATTCTATAGGTTTTAGGGTGAATCTCTTCGCATATGTGGTACGGACCCTCCCAGTTGGGGCCAAGGGTCCCTGATCCATGTTTTTTTAAAGGTGGGAACACCCTTCGTAGTACTAATTCATTTACTCGAAATGGTTTCTCTTTACCTTTGAGTTATAGTACCTGGTCATTTTCCTTTGGTACATGGCCATTTTGGCCCAAGAATCTTCCATCCTCTCTTCGAGAAGGTCTAGCCCACATCTTCTCATTCCACCGTTACTTACTTCGTTGAAGTGTATTCGCCTGGGGGACGCAAGACCCACTTCGACCGGGCTTGTAGCCTCAACCCCATAGACCATGGAGAATGGGGTTTCTCCAGTTGCAGTTCTGCTTGTTGTTCTGATTGCCCAAAGTACTTGGGGTAGCTCATCGACCCATGTCCATTTCGAAGCATCTAGCTTCCTCTTCAGGGTGTACTTAGTTGTTTTGTTAACAGGCTCGACTTGCCCATTGGTTTGATGATGATGTGGGGAGGAAAAATGCTTCTTAATACCCAACTCTTCACACATATCCTCGACCTTCTTGTTGTCGAACTGCCTACCATTGTCTGATACGATGGAGTGGAGAATTTCGAACCGACAAATGATATTCTACCACAAGAACTTGGAACTGTTAGCCTCAGTTATTTTGGCGAGCGGTTCGACCTCTACCCATTTTCTGAAATAATCAATGGTGACAATTGCGAAACCGGAACTTTCCCTCCCATGGGAAGAGGTCCAATTAGATTGATACCCCATTTTGCAAATGACCAGGGGCTAGATACCATGCTCAGCTCTTGCGAATGTTGCCTTTGTATAGTGGCAAAGGGTTGGCACTTGTCGCATTTTCTAACAAATTCTTGCGCATCCTTTTTCAAGTATGCCGCCATAGACTTGTCTCTAACCAAAAAATTACCATGAACCTGGCTCACCACTAGCTAGGAATCACTGCTGATGATGAGCATCTTTACTTATATTTCTTTTGCCAATCTTAGGCCAGCCAAGAGGGCCTCATATTCTACCGCATTGTTTGTGGCCTTGAAGCCGAACCTCATAGCACAAGTGAGCTTATGTCCTTTTGGGCTGACCAAGATGATCCATGCTCTCGATCCTGTGTCCCAGAAGACCCATCAACGGAGAGGTTCCATGCCTGGGGTTCGGCGGGTTCCAATTCTTCCTCAACTTTTGGAACAGGGGTAAATTGGCTATAAAGTTTGCTAGGGTTTGCCCTTTGATGGTTGCCCTAAACTTGAAAGTGATGTCGAACTCGCTAAGTTCCACAGCCCATTTAAGCAACCTCCTTGAGGCATCTGGCTTCTGAAGCACTTGTTTGAAGGGGTAATTTGTCAACACATGGATGCCGTGGGCTTGGAAATATGGCCTCAATTTCCTGGATGATGTTACCAAGGAAAGGGCCAGCTTCTCCATATCTGGATACCGAGTTTCTGCTGCCAAGAGCGCTTTACTGACATAATAAACTGGCAATTGATGGTTGTTTTCTTCTCTGATCAGAACCGAACTGAGAGCCTTGGAAGTTACTGCTAAGTATAAGTGTAGTATTTCATGATCTTTTGGTTTGGAGAGAAGAGGCGTTGGATGGGCCTTTCTCCTTCTTTGCTTGTAGCGAAGCGTTTCAAGAAAGTTTTCTTGAGGTCGGGCCAACTTCGAATGCTTCCTTCCGGCAATCTTGTATACCAGATTTCTGCTCCTCCACTTAAGGTTAAGTGAAAAGCTCTGCACTTCATAGTTGGAACGGTCCTCTTCAGGTTCATGTGAGTTTTGAAGCTGTCGATGTGCTTCGCTGGGTCACTCATCCCATCATACTTGGGGATTTTAGGGAGATCAGCATGGAAGCATTCCTTATGGCCTCTGAGAAAGGCGAATGATCATCATCATCATCATCAAGGTCGCAGGATGTCTGAGGCTCATCTGTGTCCTCTTCAGGTTCATGTGAGTTTTGAAGCTGTCGATGTGCTTCGCTGGGTCACTCATCCCATCATACTTGGGGATTTTAGGGAGATCAGCATGGAAGCATTCCTTATGGCCTCTGAGAAAGGCGAATGATCATCATCATCATCATCAAGGTCGCAGGATGTCTGAGGCTCATCTGTGTCTCCATCCTCCCCCTGGTGGGCCGAGGAGGTGGTTGAAAGGGTACTACTTCATTCCTAGCCTGGTTTTTCTTTTCGCGCCTATTTCTAGGAGGGTGGACCTGAGGCTCTTCCTGATGAGTTGGTGGCTGTCTATATTGTCGAGGTTCTTATTGCCTATTCTTAGGCTCTGGAAGAGGAGGATAGGTCTGCCTATTTCTAGGCATCTGGGGTGAGTGGTCATGCCTATCTCTAGGCAGCCTTGGACCTATCCTATCGAAGACACTGGCTGATCTCTGAGGCCTGTCTTCTGGCTCATAGTTCGAAGGAAAGTTGAATGGCGCTTCATGTGACCTTTCCAAAGCATAGTTGGTCGATATATCCACCTCAACTTCTCTTTCCTGCGGAGTCTCCAACCCGGTGTGATGGTGTCTAGCCATTTGGATTTGGACTTCTTCCTCCTCTTGGTAATATCCTTGAGAAGCTGGGAATACGTCTTCGGGGGCTGCATATGGAGGGACATGATGTCCTCCTCATCCCTGCATGTTCATCAGCATCTCTTGCATGGCCAAGTTTTGCTGTGTTATGTTCCTCATATTGGTCGCCATCGTGGCCTGCAACCCTTCCCCCACCTCTGGATCCTCCTCGTCTTCGTACTGGAGGTCGTGATCTAGCAGCTGGGGCGGCCTATGAGGGTTCCCCTTCCTCAGGGTATTCCCTCGTTCTTCTAGGTGCACTTTCATCATTTGAACTCATTTTTCACAAAAGTACTTAGTACGAGATTTCCCTTTCTTCAAGGGTTTCGGGTTTCTAACAGTCCCTTTTGTTTTGGGACACTCATTTTTCAAGGGTTAGAACTTTTTCAGCCAAACTTCAATCGATGCTTAGCCTTTCTTTAACGTGTTCTCGTGGTTAACCGTATGGTTTTCCACAGACGACGTCAATTTGTTGACCCCAAAAAATGAATCAATAGATGCCGGACCCACTCACGCCAGATCAAGTATGTTTCTGACGCGTTCCTACCTGAATGATGACGGTAGCAAAGAAGAGGTGGACGCGGGAGGTACTTTGTGGCGAGAGACAAAATTGTTCAAGCTCCAGCGGGTGGAACGAAGACGATCGCACTAACAACAATCGTCGGATTGAAATCAAACTAATCTATGTAATCACCAACAAGAATATGTGGAAGGATAGATGAAATGTTAATATGTTTCTTTCAAGAGTTCAAGTGTATGTCTCAAATATATGATTATACGTCCTTTTTTATCAAAATGATTCATCCCCTTCTCTAATTGCAAAAATGATCTATTTATATTGACTTGGCCGACGTAGTGACCGTTGGATCAGATCCACGTGGGCTTATCTCCCTGACTAAGGGTTCACATCACTGTCTACTCATACAATTAATACATTGATAAGAAGTCAGCCGCCCTACACAATAGGCTGACACACTGATAACTTTATTACAAGCGTTACATCAATCACTTCAAAGAGATCCTCAAATGTGTTACAAGGAAACAGCGTCGGGTCTGTGAGCCTCAGATGAACTGAGTGCGTCGGAGAGATCAGAGGTGGTTCTCAAACGGGGGACGTTAGCTTATTTCCCAACTTCTTGTCATGCAGTGCGAGGGCTTCGGACGTTTTGTAAGGACCTCGGCCTTTTAATTACTTATGTGTGTTTGACCTATTGGGTCTTTTGACTTTTTTGTTCACTACCTATCCACGTGGCCTCGTTTCACTGGACCTCGAAATCGAGGGGGTAACATGCAACAATCAATTCAAAATTCCTGTTACACTTTCAGAAGTTCTACGTTTCAGATTCAAAGTTCAACCACAATATTGATCCACCGATTCTAATATCAACATGTGAACACACACATATATATTAGATCTTTGTTGTCCCAAAAATTCGATAATGTATGAAAATATGGACATTTCAAATTAAAAAAAAAAAAAAACCCAAACAAACAAAAGCAACGTCTACTCCGAGCATTTTTCCACATCAATCAACAAACAATAATTTATCATGTTTGTTTCTGTTGTTCTTCTCTATCAAAAAAATCATGATTCTAAAATAATTCCAAGAAAACTCTCAAATCTTCACTTTCTCAACAACTTCTCTGCCTCCAAGAAGATATCCCTTTGTTGCCCCTAAACAAGAGACCCATATTGATGGTCGAATTGAAAATTCAAAAGCGAAAAGAAAAGGAAAAAGAAAAAGACTGATTAGTTTTAGGACAATTTAGGTCTTTTTTTTTCCCATGGAAAATGAGGCAAGGAGGTGGCATGATGACAAACTTAGGTGATATATTGGCTAATGGACAATCCATTTGGAGTCGAGTGAGTGAGTGAAACAAATGAATTTTAGAATTGAGGGAAAGAAGAGAGAGTTTTGAGATGTAGCTGGAAATTGGAAATTTTTTAAAGGTATTTTAGTTCATTTTTTAAAAATGGCCATGAATGCAAACCTTTCAATTTTTAGCTATTCTTAAAAATGAAGTGCCAAAATTGGACATATTCCGCAATTTCCTCTAAATTATGTGATTGCACATTCTTCCATCAGTTCTACATTCTTTAATCATCTCTATCTTTTGATAGTCTCTGACTGCATAAGATGGGGTTTCGCTTTAAACTTTTTTGCAGAAATTTTTGACAATGTCAGAATCATCTTTTAAAGAATAATAGTACAAATTGAAATCAAGCTGATGAATTTTGACCACAAAAATTAGGGAACTTGATTATAGTACGGATTTCGTTTTACAATAAACAAAGAATAAACTAAGCCCTATTTTAATCATTTTTTGTATTATTAGGAGATCAGAAGCAGCTAACTACTACGAATTCAGCTTAGTCTAACCCTCATTATATTAAGTTCAAGAACATTAGTTTTATGCATAGTTATAAAACCCCGATTAGATAGGCCGGTTCAACCTGAAAATCACTGACCCTGACCCAAGTCTGGTCCGAGTCACACAGATTTAGTGGCGGACAAACAAACCGTTTGAAACCCAGTAACCCGCCAACCCAGGCAATGGGGTCTTATGTTTTTTTTTTTATAAAGAAACTTGTTTTCTCCTCTTTCCAGTTCCTCAATTCACGTTATTTGGCGATTCTTCTTCCAAAATCAAACTCCTCTACTGCCATTTCCAATTCAATCACTCCCAAAAATCAAAATCTCCAATTTCAATTATTAAGATTGATTAGTTGAAAATATTCTTGTGGTAGATTTCAGTTTTTTCGAATAAGTTTTATATAATTTAAGATTCTTACAAAGCATACATATGAATTCCAAACAAGAATTTTTGTTTCAATGTTGTTTTACAGACTTGAATGGGACAGCAGCTATGATTTTTGGATTTGGACGTCAATTTATACAATAATACATTTGGACATCAATTTTTGGATTTGTACAGCATGTAAAAGTGTTAAAAAATGTTAAACTTTTTCAATTTTGTTACATAATGAATAAGTAGGGGCAGAGATTATTTCTGGTGTGAAATGAGCAATTATGTAAAAGTGTTAAAACCTGTTAAAAGAACATATTGTTTCTGGCATGAAAACAACATATTATTTCTATTATGCTTTGCATGAGATGCAGGTGAAAGTGTTAAAAACTTGTTAAACTTTCTGATTTTTGTTAGACAATGAAGATCAGTTGCCTGCGTGCCCCATAATTTTTCAATGGTGAACACTAGGCATGATTGTTTATATGAGGTCACCACTTGATTTTAAGATTTTGCTTTTTTTTTTTTTTACTAGAATTATATTTTGATTATTAATAAATTGGATAATAGACTTTGTTTAGGAATTACGTCAAGAGTCGAAATTATGATCAAAATGATTGTAATTGTTTGGCTGGTGCTATTGTTTCTTCTTTTTATTAAAGTATATATGATGTAACATTAAAATTTAAAACTATTTTCTGATGAGTTACATTTTGACGATTTTAATCTTGATTGTGATGGAAATGATAATAGAAGTGATACAAACAAAGAAAACGATGATTTTAGTATGATTGAGATTCCATCATTGGTACAAGGTGAATGAATTGAAGAATTATATCCAAGACCCCACATGGATATTCTCTAGCTCTTCTTAATTGAGAAAATATTGACTTATCTCAAAACATTTTACTTTGTTAACATGTTCTTTATCCACGTTTAACTTTAATTGATGATTTTACTTTTGCACGCATATTCTTATAGTATATGAAGCTATCTTGTTGTATCGATTGTTTTTTTTATAGTTTCAAATCCATATTTCACTATATATGATCTAGAATTTGTGAAATTTGGGATACAAATTGAAATTTAGTTAACAATGTAATATGTGATTAATTTAGTTATTAGTAGAAAATGGAAAAAAATTATTATTCAATGAAAATAGTTAATAATATTTTTGATAGGAATTGATGTCTCGGGTTGAACCACTGACTCGTGGACCCACTACATTGTCTGCATCGACATTCGGGTTGAGTTTGACAACTATGGTTTTATGAGATAAAAAAGTCCTATATTAGACAAGTTGGCCATGTGTGTCATTTTTGAAGGGGAAGATGTCGAGGAGAAAAAAAAAAAGCAATTATTGATCAAGGAGAAAAAAATAAGCAAAATACGAAGTGTTTAAAAATGAAAATCATAACACTGAAACTTCTGGGAAGGAAGTATGCTGGTTAGAATTTCCTGCACAATAATGAAACAGTGCATCAAGTACTGGATGAGAAAATATGATTAAAGAAATAAAATTAAATATCATCAACTATAGCTCTAGAAACACTTTGTTTTCCTTTTTCCAGTACAAAAATAAACTAAATAAGTTAATCAGGAAAAAAAATGAAAAATAATCAGAAAAACAATAGAAAACTGAAATAAATTCAAAAGTTTGACAGAAAAACAAGAAAATAATTATATGGATTATTGATATTATAAGCAGAAGGAACCATTAAACCTTAATCAAGTGACAGAAATTGTTTATACTCAAGTGAACTAAAAACATAGTTCTATGAAAGACTAAAGAATTGTACCTCATGCGCCTTGCCTGAAAAATGTTTAGTGAAACTGGTCAAAATTGAAGTGAGCTAAATTCAAAACCCTACTATATATACATATATGATTTATACTGGTAAATCTGCTTTTATTTTTTTACTATACTGGTAACATTCTTGAGTATATAGATCTGCTGATAGAACCAAAAGTTCTAAAACAAGAGCTTTTGTAATTGTGCTATAAAATCGGACATCAAAGATTTACACACCATAAGAATGAACTTATACCTGTGTACACCGTCATAGAGTTTCTCTGCAATAAGTCATTAATTGCCACTGCAGCATCATCAAGATTCTCATATACACTGATTAATGGGTCATTCTAATAAAACCCTAGAAAAGTTATGTGAATCTTGATGGTGCTGCAACAGCAAAAACTGACTGGAAGTAATGGATTATCACCATATCAGTACATGGAAAAGGAAACCCTAATTAGATTTTGAGACAAAAGAAAGGACAGACAAGAAATAAAGCTTCAAAGGTTATCAATTATTATGCTCAATGAGTCAGATCCACTTGTGAAAAAGGTTTTTTCCTTACATGTATTGGCTACAAAAAAGAAAAGAAAAAAAGTATATAGATATGGGTAACAAGGGTTTGTTGCAGAAGAACAAATGGATCAAGAAGAAAGGAGATAAAGAAAAAGAAGGGTTTGTAGAACTGGGATTTCTAATGGTAAAGAGGGCAATTATTTATAGAGTT